CTTCAGTTTTAATGCTAGCAGGGGGTGTCTGGCCTTCATGCGAATAAGCTATACCATGGGGTCAAGGTCCAGTGTGACCAAGGGCCCAGAGTACCGGCTGAGCATGCCATCAAATACCCCCGGGAACTCATCGCACACTGATGCAAAGCTCTGTGTCTTTACTTGGTTTACGTCTGTCACTCGGAACCCCAGCGGCTCGAACCACGACAGTCCCAACAGGTTCATGAGCTTTTCCTCCACCACCAGCAAGTCCAACAGTCCCAAAAAGTTTTTGTACTGCACCCAGAACTTGCCCCAGTCCCTGATGGCCACCGGGTTCTTTTGAAAGTCCTGCGGCGACAAGCCCTGTAGCTTTTGCAGGAGGGGTCCCCCCTGGGGGCAGAGCTTCTGCAGGGTGTCCGCCGAAATTATAGAGAAAACCGATCCTGGGTACAAAAAAGGCACAGATATAGAATAGGAGGGACTTGGCTTGACAGCAGCACATGTGAAAGGGATCTAGATGTTCTGGTTGATCACAAGCTAAACATGAGCCTGCAGTGCGATGTGGCTGTGAAGAAATCTAATGCAACCTTAGGATGCATTAACAGAAACATTGTGTCCAGATCACGGGAGGTGGTAGTTCCACTCTATTCTGCTATGGTCAGGCCTTACCTGGAGTACTGTGTCCAGTTTTGGGCACCACATTTTAGGAAGGCTGAGGCTGGACGACCATCTTTTGGGTATGTTGTAGGTATGTAGGACTATATTTCGGCTATATTCCTGCAGAGTGCAGGGGATTGGACTAGATGACCTGCAAGGTCCCTTCCAACTCTAACATTCCGTGATTCTATGAGAACCAGGCATTCTGCCAGAAAATGATATTTGAAACAAATCAATTCAAAAGTTTCCCAGCTACCAGAACTACAGACTTATTATACAGAAGTAGTGATGTGCCCCAATGTAGAGGCTGATAGAGAACCCAACTAAGTGCCAGCATCTCTTGTATTAGACTGGATCCACGTATCATTAGATATTGTACTAGCATGAGGAGAGGGGAGGAACAGTGTGGCAATGTGAACGTGTCCCAGGACAGCTCCTGGGACCGACGGCTTCTTTGATCTACCATAGGGGGTCTGAGTCAGTTGGGGTTTTCAGTTGCATAACATACCTCATAGGGGAGAGGAGAATGGGTAACAATGGTTACCACTCTCCAGGTGAGGGCTACAGATAACTCAAACATACAAATGCTCTTCAGGTAGCAGAGATCAGTCCCTCTGGAGAAAACAGTGAACTCTGTCATTAAACCCTGCTGAGGTCGCCACAGGAAACTGACACTGTTTGCCCAAAGCCAGAGCACTCTCCCAGAGCCACTTTCTAGATCCCGTTGTATTTATTTCTGCAACGGGCATTATTTCTAGTCATTAGATATTGTACTAGCATGAGGAGAGGGGAGGAACAGTGCGGCAATGTGAACGTGTCCCAGGACAGCTCCTGGGACCGACGGCTTCTTTGATCTACCATAGGGGGTCTGAGTCACTCAGAGACCCCAATCTCCCCTCAGGAAGAGGGGGGAGAGCAAGAGGCTTGATTCAGGGGCCCCGCAGCTGCTGCCACTGTCGGGTGCGAGCCCTGGATCGCCTCCAACACTGGGATCGAGAAGAAAAGCCCATGCCCATGGGCTCATAGCTGTTGCTCCTCCAGAAAGGGTGTGTGTGTGTTAGAAACTCTGCCTCGTAGAGTGCTTCAGTACCGTGAGTAATACTTCAGTGTCAACAAAAGAGAAAATCTACTTCACTCTTTAACGTGTAGACCACTTATGCAGCTTTAAAAAGCTAAACAGAAAAAGAGGTGGGAGGTTTCCCCCCATCTCAGTGAATAGTGGCAAGCAAAAGGGACCGTAAGCCCTGACTGTGCATATGAACAGGAGGATGCAAGAAGATCTTGTTCCTGCTCATGAGTAACTCGGCACCCCAGCTATTTCCATGTTCACAATTTTTGGGTGGTTATAGAGTGAGATTTCCATGTTCTCAATACTTTTAGTTTTCATTATCTCTTTTTCCTCCTGGAGGGAGTGTGGATATAACTTTTAGCTTTTTGTTCCTGTTGCAGGTGTGGGCAAGGCTGGAATGAATGCTGGAGATTTGTGCATTTCAAGGAGCCGGTAAAAACATTTAAGGATTATCAACTGTGGATAAACATTGAATAACATCAAAGACAGGATTGTAATGGTGTAAAGTAGAAGAGCAGATGAGTATTGGATTTAAAGAGACAGGACGCTCTTGTTCCCTTCTCATAGACTCGGTGGTAATGACCATATAAGGGAAGTAGAACTGTTTTGGTGTGAAACTTTTGTTATGGTTTGTGGTTAGAAAGATAGACAGTGACTGTTTATAGAAAGAAGTATGCAGTGTTCAAAAATAAAGAGCCAGTAGGATAAGGAAGGAGAAGGCAACTGCTCTTAGTAATTTCTTGTTTTTCTTTCTTACTGGCTTTATTATTAGTGAGAGGCCCAGGAGTAGTGTTTTTCTTTCCCT